CCCCACACCCCACACCCCACACCCACACCCCACACCCACGCCCCACACCCACCATTCAAAGAGCAATAATTATGAACAATTGTTAATAAAGAATTGATCGCTTGATGACTCATGGACATATGTTCGATATCCATTCGAACTGTTCGTAAATTTTGAAAATTCATCATCATGAAGGTATGAATGATGTTAAAAAGAAAAGACTCGCACTCACTTTTTCAATTCAAATTTGCCAAAAAGTGTCGAGCGATGGAGGAGTTCAGACAAAAAGGAAACCATTATTTATTGTAATGGCTCATTATTTCGAGACTGAAACAGTTTTATCTCGATTCATCTTGAATATAAGTACAGCAAAGAGAGAAAACATAGAAGAAAACACAAGATTGTCGCACAAGCTAGTTAATTAACATAGTCACATCTTGATTTATCTACCCACTAGCTAATTGTACAGCCAACAGCTCTTCCTGCATCTTGAAGACTAGGTGGTTGGCAATTCAAACATGGACGACCGACGAATTGCCGATATTGGCAGTAGACCCACACTGTTGAGCCACATCTAGGGCATGTGTAGTAGATTTTATCAGAATCACACATTTGTTATTTGTCTTTGTACGGCAAAAAAGAACTGGTTTCACCAAATGCAAACAAGTTGATTTCTTCGTATCACCTAAATTTAATTTTGAGTAGCAATGATTGGTAAGTAACGAGAGAACTATGGTTTTGCTTTAAAGGCTTGCCTATTTATACTGTTGTTTTACTAATCTTCCCAATATTTTCCCTGTATGAAAGAAAGGCGCAGAAAAGAACGTACAGAAGTGACGTAAAAAGGACGTACAGAAGTGACGTAAAAAGGACGTACAGAAAAGAACGTAAAAGCGGGCATATAAGAAATGACGTATAGCTTTAGACGCACGGAAAGGAAAATGCCATATCGAAAGTGTGATTTCATTCGATGTTCATCCGTATTTTTTTATGTCTTTCAAAAAATGCTTGTTATTTTTTATCAATGTTGCCTACTCATATGATAAAGCATATCATATACAGCTTCTTCCTTTGTGGTCTGCTAGTTGGCATTTGAACGAATAATTGGCATGATGGTTTCAAATAAACATTAGGAAGTGGTTTTTCTCTTCACTCACACTAATCCATTCATTGATCAGCATTCGAAAAATGACTCCGAAGTACTTTCAAATGAGAGAGAACGAGCTTATACAAGGTCATCTGCTATATAGTATTTGTGTTGAGATACCTCAAATACATACCGACCTTTCGTTTGAGTTCGGTTCTTTACCAGGTCTATTTTTCTGGACAGGTTTTTTTCAGCATAGATATCCGTAAAAAATGTTGGTTATTTCAGCTGATTATTAGATAAAATGAATGATTGAATAAAATAATTCACTAAAAAAAAGTAATTGATAAATATCTCTTTCTTCATGTGAGAAAAAAATTTGAAAGCTTCCGCATGGATTCGATGGCACATACCACATCTATGGTCACTTGTAGGCTTCCTTGGCTCCCAATCACATCCGCACACACCTAAATAAATATTGTGACAATATATATACAGGATACTTTACAGAAATTCGTGAGGTTATTAAAAAGTGTTCTTACTCCGGTCTATTCGATTAATGAATTGGATTGAAGCTTGAAAAAATATAAGAAAGTGATATTCAAAAGTCTTTGGACAAATGTCGAACTATGTTAGATCGTATTGCTAACTTGTAAACCAATCGAGTTTGTTTTTTTTTAAACGCATCTACGAAGCAAAAGAAATCAAAAACCAAACATCTATAATAGAAAGGTACTTGCAATTTTTTTGAAATTTGGAAACTTTCTCTTTCTCAACTATCTTGAGCTACAAGAGTCGAATTCTAACAAAACATACAGCAATATGTTTTGTGAAAAGTTTAAAAATACAATCTCTTCCCAGAACGATCAATTTGAAAGAAGATCAACTAGAATCTCCAGAAACAATGCATAAACTGAATTCTTCGTGTGTGATTTGTAGAAAATACATCTGATCCTAGCAAATAAGCAGAAAAAAAAATTCAAAAAACTTTTTTTTACTGTTGAAAAATGATCAGATAGTAAGAAAGACCAAATTATATAGTACCATTCAGAAACGGATATATTTTTCCAACGAAAAGCAAGATTAAATTTAATTTCCTCTACAGAGTGTTAGTGTATAAACTACAGAACACCCACAATGATACCTGCCCTATTATTGCTACGCGAAGGTCAAAAGTAATGACTTCATGATCACTTCTTGAATGTCTCTGTTATTTCTTATTACATTTACTTGAATTTGATTTTGAAGAATTTGCCAAGACACCCTCGATAGATTTGCATGTGTTTACTTGCATCCGACGATGTTCTCTTCCTTTTTCAGACAATGAAAAATAAAACTATGGAAAGGTTGAGATTTTGAAGCACGAAAAACGGTACTGATTTAATGAAGTTGTTTCCTTCTTTAAGGATGTGGATGTTTTCTTCTATCGTACTAGTGCTTACGCCTACACATGTACTAGATAAGAGTTCTCGATTTCAAGTAACCAAATATTTTGATGAAAGCTGTGATAGATTAGGTTTCGATTTTATAAATACCGAAAAGGTATCGCAAATGCATTTATTTTTGTCAATCAATACTTATTCCACTATGAGTGTCATGTCTCAGCTGTGTTTGCTTGGTTTTGATCTAACCAACATAATAGTAATATTAAGTACCACACTACCACATTTTGTTGATTTGCGATTCATATTTCCAAATACACATACCTTGGAAGTAAATCTAACTAAGACTTGATCATCGATAGCAGAATTCACAGTGTTTGACAAAAACAAAGTTATTTGTGATACATTGTCCACTTTTTTGAAATTTAAACTTTACGTCATTAAGCTTTCTTCAAAAAACAGTAAGTTATACATAGTGAAGAGACGTTAGAAAATGAAAATGCAACGCAACGTCATGGCAACCGCAATTTTATATGTTTTGGTGACGTTTTACATTGTGTTGACAACTTCTGGAATGAAGCTTCAGCATTGTCCGGCAGGTTTCTATTGTAAAAAGATTCATGTTGCGAACACTGAACGATGAAGACGATTATCAGCAACCACAAATCTGTCCACGTAGTACATGGAGTGGTGTTGGAGCTGTGGAATGTATGAAATGCATAGAAGGATATTTCACATGGGATGAAGCATCTACCCGATGTGAACCATGTGAGCCTGATTACATGTGTCCCGTACCAGACGCTGATCTTGTACCATGTCCACTTGGAAGCTATTCTGATAGTCTACACTCTAAAAAAAAAAGGTTTCCTCGGAAATCGATACCCCTTCGGAAACCTTTTCGCAAACCTTTTTAGGTTTCCGGAAGGGTTTCCGAACTTATGTTGAGTTTCTGACAATACCTTGAGGGTTTCCGAGCATCCGGAAACCAATGGATTTTGGAGAGAGCGGATTCGGAAACCCTCAACCGTATTCTCGGAAACCGCTTTTGCTTCGGAAACCTTTTCGGATAGCCATTGCGTATCCTCGCATACCTTTGGGTTTTCGATATTTTTTTATCGAAAACCCTTTTGGGTTTCCGGGCATCGGAAACGGTCGAAGCGTTTTCCAGAAATCTAGCAAGGTTTCCGAACATAACCGGAAAACCCCTTAGGGTTTCCGAATGTTGCGAAAACCTTTGAGTTTTCGAGAAAAAGTTTCGAAAACCCATTAAGTAGTATGCAAAACCCGATTAGCATTCCAATATGATCTTTTTTATTCTCATGTTCTATCGTGTGATTTTCAGGTAAAGCGGTGCTCGATATACATGACATAAACCTTACTTAATTTGTGTGAAGTTGCTTTGTAAAACATAAGAAATCTGAGAAGTGTAAAAGAAGGCGTTGTTCCCAAAAGAATTCTAATTCGTTTTTATATTTCGAATAGCCTAAAATTTGGATGTGTTATGATTCATTTTACTGTGAAAATCGAGGAGTCGCGCTAAATTGGATGGTCACTATATGCCCTCTAAAGGCATCGTAGTCAAGCGATTTCATGCCGAACTTAGGTTTTTCTTCCCTCGTTATACTATGGACACATGTTCACCAAAATGAAATTCAGATCAACGTTAAGAAGTTAGATTAAGGGTTACAATAAGCGGACAGATATACATTAAAGCGTTAGAATAAGACCACGGAATAAGACATTACAACAACGAGTTAGAATAAGGGGATACACATAGATTAAGGACTTAGATTAGCACGATACATTTAGGGATAGATATAGATTAAGGAGTTATATTAGAGGTTAGAATAAAGGGGTAGAACAAGAAAGTAGAATAAGGGGACAGATACAGATCAAAGAGGAACAAACTGATTTCCGATTTCTTGATTTCTAGTGATTTCCATGATTTCTGACGATTTCGAGTTAGAGGAAGTCCGCTACCGTTCCGTTGCCAAATAACCGGTAACGAAAAGTTTGTGAGTTTCATTTTTTTTGTTAGGATAAGGCTATTTTCAAAAAATAACGATTTTCTATAAAGTTTGATCAAAGGTTATCGAGGTCCAGGAATTCGAATCTATAAGTCGTTGTACAACATTTGTGAGTTTCATTCTTTTGTTAGGATAAGGCTGTTTTCAAAAAATAACGATTTGCTATAAAGTTTGGCCAAAGGTCATGGGGGTCCAGGAATTCGAATCTGTGACTCGCTTTTCAAAATTTATCAGCTTGATTTTTTCGGCCACTGAAGGCCTATTTTGCAGAAATGCGGATATTCCCATAGAGCTGGCAAAACTATGAGAAATTGCTTCACCCTGACAAAAAAATCGAAACTCGAAAATTTTTCGAAATCACTTATAGATTTGGATTGCTCGACTCCGATAGCTTCCGATCAAACTTTATACGAAAATCATCATTTTCGGAAAACACACTTGCCCTAACGAAAAAATCAATCTCACAAATTTTTCCTTCTCAGATAACAGTGACTTCTTACCCCTACTATGGATATCAAAATTCTGACAAGCTGAGATATACACATAATAGCAATGATCTCTATTAATTTCTGTTGATTTCAAATTGATTTCTCGCATTAGAAATCAGTTTCTTTCCCCTTGATATCGATGAAGAAGTTAGATTAGCGGTTAGAATAAGGGGATAGATATAGGTTAACGACTTGGATTAGAAATTAGAACAACAGAGTAGAGTGAGGCCTCAAATGAAGAGGTTAGAATAAGCAATGGAATAAGAGATTAGAATACGGGGATAGATTAAGGGGTAAGAATAGGGGATTAACATGAGGGATTAGAATAAGGGGATTGAATAAGGGGACAGATGAATGGATTATAATAAGGGGTTAGAATAAGGATTTAGATTACAGGGTTAGAATAAGGGGATAGAATAAGGATATAGATTAAGGGGTTAGAATAAGGGGTTAGAATAAGAGGATAGAATAAGGGGATAGATTAAGGAGTTAGAATAAAGGATTAGAATAAGGGGACAGATGAAGGGATTATAATAAGGGGTTAGATTTAAGGGGTTAGATTACGCGGTTAGAATAAGGGATTAACATAGGGAGTTAGAATAAGGGGATAGAATAAGGATTTAGATTAAGGGGTTAGAATAAGGGAATAGAATAAGGGAATAGAATAAGGGGATAGAATAAGGATTTAGATTAAGCGGTTAGAGTAAGGATTTAGAATAAGGGGTTAGAATAAGGGGATAGATTAAGGGGTTAGAATAAGGGATTAACATAAGGGGTTATAATAAGTGGATAGAATAAGGGATTAACATAAGGGGATAGATTAAGCGGTTAGAATAAGGGATTAGAATAAGAGGATAGAATAAGAGGTTAGAATAAGGGGTTAGAATAAGGGGATAGAATAAAGGATTAACATAAGGGGTTAGAATAAGGGGATAGATTAAGGGATTAGAATAAGGGGATAGAATAAGGGTAGTGAGTAGCTGCCGGAAACCTATTGAAGGTTTTCGAGACTTCGAAAACCTTCAATAGGTTTCCGAGATCGTGAGCTTTTTTCATTGCTTTTGAAGGTTTCCGAGAGCTCGGAAACCCTTTCTCGGAAACCTATAAAGGGTTTCATATAGTGACAAACCCGGAAACCCTCTATAGGTTTCCGACAAAACCTTTTTTTTTTAGAGTGTAGCTCAGACATGCTGTAAAGTATGTGAAAGTGGAAGCTATACACCTGCAGAACATTCTATACGATGTACACGATGTCGTCTTGGAACCTACTGTGTCGAAAATCAGGTCAATCTCTCATGCACTAAGGATTCACGTATTTACATCATACTTTTGTAATACACACTATACCATAGAAAGGTATGAGTGTGAGTATTGATGTGAGTAGAAGATCCTCATATCAACAAACATTCATATCCAAACTTACGCTCGCATCCTCGAGGTCAAACTTGATTTTGTCTTCTTGAAATATATCTCGTCGAAAAAAAAATGGGTTGACATGTGATTCAAGTAGTAAATGGAAATAACGAAGATGATTAAACAAAGTTTTGGGAGATGATTAGGAAAACGGTGAAAAGTGAGTCCATATAACTCTCTAATTTTTATTTCACCAACCAAATCAACATAGTTCCATGTACACGACTGAAAAGTAATGAGTATATGATTCTCCGTGCAGCTCTATATCGGGATGAAATGTGAAATGAACGTTGGAGTTTAGTGTGAACGACTAAAAAATGATAGATCCGTATATATATGATTCACATATTTCCTATAAAGTTTTTGGACGTACTAAATCGCTTCGATAGTCTAAGATTCAAAATGTGCGTGAAAAGTAAAAACTTATGAAACAACATGCAATCTATTACTCATTTCAATAAATAAATATTTCAATCCACTGGTGATTCTTGTATAATGAAGGCAAATAGTTTTCGAAAACAAATTGATAACTAAGTGTTATATTATGGTGAGTTCCACAGTAGTGAAATGAATTGCAAGTTTCTCACATGATTTTGATGAAGGAATGTGTAAACAAACAATCTTGGAAAGAAAATAATTTTTACTTTTGAACGACCTCGGGATTGTGTGTTCACATTATCGTAATTTTCTTTTTTGCATAGTCGAACCTCAAAAGATTTCTCCAAGTGCTACATGGGCGCAAAACACTGTCACTATAGCTGGAGACAATGGAAAAGGCAATGCATCTAATCAACTTAACTATCCGTGGCGTGTCTATGTGGATGATGATCGAACTATCTTGATTGCCGACCACTATAATCATCGCATCGTACAATGGAAACATAATGAAACAACTGGTCAAGTAGTAGCTGGTGGTAAAGGCGAAGGAAATGGATCTGATCAATTGAAATATCCATCGGATGTGATTATCGACAAAGAAACAGACAATCTTATCATTTGTGATCAAGGAAATCGGCGAGTGATGCGATGGCCTCGTCGACATGAAGAAAAAAGTGGAGAAACAATCATTGAGAACATTGCTTGTGTGGGATTGACGATGGACGATCAGAGATTCCTTTACGTATCTGATTAGCAAAAGCATGAAGTGAGACGATATCAAATTGGACAGACAAGTCGAACAGTGGTAGCAGATGGAAACGGAGCAGGTGATCGTCTCGATCAACTCAACGGTCCACTTAATGTTTTTGTCGATCAAGATCACACTGTCTATGTGTCGGAGAAGAACAATCATCGTGTAATGAAGTGGATGCAGGGTGCGAAAGAGGGCATTGTCGTGGCTGGAAATCGAGATGAAGGAAATTTGCTAGATCAATTGTCAAGCCCTCGAGGAGTATATGTTGATTCACTAGGCACAGTCTATGTGTCAGAGATGGGAACTGATCGAGTGATACGTTGGACCAACGAAGCAACGCTAGGAACTGTTATTGTTGGTGGAAGTGGTAGAGGAAAACAAGCCAATCAGTTGCATTCACCTGTCGGTTGTTCATTCGATCGTCATGGCAATCTCTATGTGGTCGACAATGAAAATAATCGAGTTCAAAGATTTTTCATTGAACAGAATTGATGCTATTAGTTTGCACTTGTATGTTTTAGTTTGAAACAAAGAAATAAAAGCTGAAGATGCATAAGAAGCTCGTTTTGGTCATTGCTCATGTTCAGTTATTTCTTGGTGTACTCTATGTAGAAAAATGTGCAGTCTTTAGTATTGGGTTGATGCAAAAGTCTCCGCCGATTTTTTTGAAATTTTTTTAAAGCCATCTAGCGCTACTGTGCATGTGTGGCTTTCATACATATGATACCGCTTGTATCGTACTATGAAATGATATTAACGAATGTCCGATTTTATTTACATTCTGTATTAAAATATGTCAGAGATTCCTATTCATATTCGACATTGCATTTGTATGAGTTCCAACAGGGGAACAATGCAAGTGCTGCTGTTCGCAATATATGTGCTGCACTTGGTGAAGGTGTTGTTGCTGATCGCACTTGCCGAGATTGGTTTAAAAGGTTTCGGGAAGGTGACATGACATTGGAAGATCGTCCAAGGTCTGGACGTCCTCCGGAATATGATATTGAACGATTAAAAATCCTGATCGAAGACAATCCACGATTAACCACCCGTGAATTATCAGCTATGCTTGGGTGCGACCAATCCACCATCGATCGCCATTTGCATGAAATGGGAAAAGTCAATAAACTTGGAACATGGGTTCCACACCAACTAACCTCGGACAACATACAGCAAAGAATCACCATATGCAACTTTTTGTTGTCAAAACGCAACCGACACAGATTTCTTCAACAGATTGTCACTGGCGATGAAAAGTGGGTCCTATATGTCAACCATACACGCAAGCGCCAATGGGTCAATCCTGAAGATTTGCCTGAACCAGAACCAAAAAACGATTTGCATCCAAAAAAAGTGATGCTGTCGATCTGGTGGGATTTTGAAGGTATTATTTACTGGGAACTTTTGCCACCTAATACCACTGTCGACTCGAAGCTTTACTGCCAACAACTTCAAAATGTGAAAGTTGCACTACAAGGAAATCGTTCAGAAAGACGAAAAGTTCGACTCCTCCATGACAATGCGAAACCTCATACGGCAAAAGTAACCCGCCAAAAGCTGGAAGAATTAGGGTGGGAGGTCTTACCCCATCCACCATATTCACCAGATCTGGCACCTTCTGATTATCATCTGTTCCGGTCGCTTCGCAATCATCTGGTGAAAAAACAGTTCGATGATCAGGCACATGTAAAATCGGACCTCGAAAGTTTCTTTTCGTCTTTATCTAAGAAATTCTTTGAAGATGGCATTCTCGATTTGCCTAAAAGATGGGAATATGTCATAGACAACAACGGTGTATATGTTGTTGATTAGTGATACTTTGTTTCAATAAAATCATGAAACGTCAAAAAGAAAAAAAATCGGCGGAGACTTTTGCATCAACCCAATACACAAATACAAAAAAAACTGTTTACATTCAGAGTCATTCTTGGGTCATAGCAGTCAGATTCCCATAAAATAATAAGATGACCCGCTATGCAGTCAATACATAGAAGTCTATATTTTGGTGATGTATATATCATTCAACAGGTGACACGAAGCTCAAACTGTGCTAAAAATTTCTATTCTCTAAACTTGTCAAGAATATCCTCAGAAAATCTGAAATTGATCTTGATTTATCGAAACTGTAATTATGCTCTAACTTGTGAGAGTGCTGATGTGTAGGTGTGAGTGTTTACTAAAAGAAGAACTTACAGGGTGTGGGGTAGGTGTGAGCATGGTTAAAGGTTTTGTGTCTAAGTCTGGATGTGGTTGTGATTGGATGTTGGTAGGCACGTTCATCTCTGCATTCTCACACCAACACTCTTGTACCGACTGCATTCACACCAAGGGGGTAAGTGCAGGCACCCAGCACCTTGGTACCTCAGCACCTGTTCGGCACCTAGTCAGCGCCTACAGCACTTGTTCGACACCTTTATCGAATTTACTATAAGCACCTTCAGCACCTTCAACCATTTTTTCACTATCTTAAGTACTTTTTCAGCACCTTGCGAGAAAATTTAAAGGGCAGAGCCTAGGCACTAAATTTTATCCCAAGGTGCTGAAAAAGTACTTAAGATAGCGAAAAAATGGTCGAAGGTGCTGAAGGTGCTGAAGGTGCTCATAGTAAATTCGATAAAGGTGTCGAACAGGTGCTGTAGGTGCTGACTAGGTGCCGAACAGGTGCTGAAGTGCTGAGCAGATGCTGAGATGCTAGGGTGCTGGGTGCCTGCACTTTCCTCCTTGATTCACACTCTAAGCGAAGAGGATGGTGTATAAACTTAGATCAACTGTTGATAGTTATTCATTTTGTTTCTACTAGTCAACGACATCTTTACACAATTGTTTTTACAGAGACTCGTCATTGTGCAAATTAGAAGATCCATACGGAAGAAAAGCATAATTGTTTTATTCACTATGATAGCAAAAACAAATAGAACTGGAACAAAATGAAAATTCAACACTTTATGCTTAAGAATCATACCTCGCACATAAGAATATGCTCCTTACAGCAGAATTATTTTTAATCTCTTTTTTCTACTGATGTTTGTTTACATTGACTCATTCTTTTTGTATATGTCTATGTAGTTACACCTTAAACTCACATTTGTTTTACTTTTCTTGCACATTTCAAAGCACAAATAAATTTCTTATTGTCCATATATTCAAGAAGTAGCAACAACAATGCCAAGTAACCGAACGAACATTTTGACGTTTGCCAAAGGAAAAATTGTATATCCATGCGAAGGATGCTCAGAGAATTTCTGTTTCGATCATTAAGGTAAACGACGTCGAACACTAAGAAGACAACTTGATGAAATTGAAACTGATCGTGATCAGCTTCGAGAAACACTGGTCGAACAAAAATATATTCCAAAAAAAACTTCCATTATTACAAAAAGGTGATGGATGGGAGAAAGATTCAATCAGGAAAATTAAACAAACAGCAGATGGATGCCGACAAATATTAATTAAACATGAAAGTAAACATTCAATTGAAATGAAAAAAATTATCTCAGTTAACCCTTCGACGGTGTCATGGGGTCCAAGTGGACCCATTTGACAGTTTTTCGTGTTGTACTAATTTAATATTTGCTGTTTCGGATCATTCCTCTTCTCTACTCTCTAGTCTTTAGTAGACGCATAATATCCTTATCAAATATCACAAATAAGTCTAGAAGGGAAAAAACACAGCTGTGGATCCACATGGACCCTAGAACACCGATGATGTTGTAGGCATATATTTTCGTCTTTTTGACGCTGCCATCTGTTGTCTTCCGATTGTTTTTCCAAATAGATTCATGATGATTCGTTTGTACATTCATCATTAATAGTAATTATTCACATTTTCTTTATACAGTGTGAGAGTTGTGATTGCTTTTGGATCAAAACCAAATTGCATCGTGTTTGTCGATTCATCTGAATTGAGTGAATTTTAAACTGTTTGTCAGGGTGTGACTGTTACTATGAGTGTAGGTATTGGTTTGAATGGCATAGCAAAAAATGAATTACACATACAGATAAAGCCACATACCCACCCACATACCCACCCACACTCACACCCGACTGTCTTTCTCATTCCTAAACAATTACAATGGCAACTTGCCATACATGTGAAGAAAAGAATTAGGAAAGATTGCATTCACGGAAGAAAATCAAATAGGAACAACGGCATCATTTTCCAAAAAAACTACGGTTTTAAAGTTTTTTAAACACGGAAAAAAAAGAAAAAGGTGGAAATAAATATAATTAAAGAGAAAAGTTTCTTCTCTTCTTATCTATAGACTACTATATCCCCCTGGACAAAAATAGTTAGACTCGGTATTTTGAATATATTTCCACTATAAGACCACACTTTTTTAAAAGTAATTACATATTCTGAAAGCCCGTGGAGTTTTCTATAACTCTGTATAATTAGATTTTAGTTTCGATCTATTCATTATTAAAATAAATTGAGAACAATGAAAGCACCCTCATGTTCAGATTCCCATAAACTTGATTTGTCACTGTCGTCAAAATTAGTTTTTTAAATTTTTTATCACTATAGTACCACTTTTTGAGAAAAGTAATTATGTATTCTGATAGAGCTTGAAATTCTCTATCATCCTGTATATTTATTTATTTTCTTATATTGATTTATTTAAAAAAAAATTTGAGTGCAATGAACACATCGTCAATCGACAGGTACCAAAAATCTGCATTTTTTTCGCTATTTAAATTCAAGACACTACATTAATACATATGATGATAGAGAATTTCAAGCGCTATCAGAATATGTAATTTCTTTTGGAAAAAATTATTCCTATAGGAATAATAATTGGAGAGAAAACTAAAAAAAGTGGCGAAAAAATGCAGATTTTTGATACTTGTCGATTGAGAGTGCGTTCATTGTACTCAAATTATTGTTCAACAAATAAATGTAAGGCAATAGCTAAATATATGGGATGATAGAGAATTTCAAGCTCTATCAGAATACATAATTACTTTTTTTTAGAAGGATATTTCTATAGTCGAAAAGTTGAAAAAACTAGTTGAGGATACAAAGTCCTGTCTGTGGGGAATCTCGACACGAGGGTGCTTTCATTGTTCTCAATTTATTTTGATAATGAATAGGTCGAAACTAAAACCTAATTATACAGAGTGATAGAAAACTCCACGGGCTTTCAGAATATGTAATTACTTTTAAAAAAGTGTGGTCTTTTAGTGGAAATATATTCGAAATACCGAGTCTAACTATTTTTGTCCAGGGGGATATATGTGAATGTACCAGTATAGTCCTAACATTCTAGACTGAAATGATTGGATCTATCATTCCTTTTAAGTTATACTTCAATGGTGCTATGAAAAAAATCCAGCCAATCTTCTTTTTCGACATTTTATGTCTTTATATTGCCTCTATGGAAAGTGATACATATGCCGTTATAAAAAGAGTATTTAGAGGTCTATAGTATATCTAGAAGAATATCTTAAATAAAATAAAAGTATCGATTTTTTGTAATTTTCTATGGATGGGTCCAGGCGGACCCCAGGACAGCGATGAAGTTCTAAAGTGAAGACACCGTCGAAGGGTTAATGAATGAAGTACGTGCTATTGAAAATCATAGTGAGCATACTGATACAGATGATGAAAATGAAGATTCGGTAAGCATTATTTAACTTTCATATAAGAATTATTTGTTTTTCTTTTCTTGTTTTAGGATGAAGAAGATAATAATAATATCGATCAAGTTGATAATGGTGGTAGTGGTGATAATTTTTCAGATGAAGATGATTCAATTTCTATCAATAGTGAATCGGATATTGAAAGTTTAGATGATTCATATCAAAATAACTTTAAAGTTGGTGTTGATGTACATTCTAGTGAAACTTCTGATTTATCATTGCCACAACCTGATCCATGTATTGGTTTAACTGTCGACAGTGAGTAATGTTTTTTTTACTATATCTCATGATATTTACTGACTTTCATATTTTGAGAAATGCAAAATATATTCGATTTGTTTTTTTTCTATTAGAAAGTCGACAACTTATTGATACTATAAAAGATTCCTCCATTTTATCATCATTCATCAAAAATAAAAAAATGAATATAATGAATACAATGATAGTAAAATAAAGTGTTCATTATTCTTAGATGTACGTAATCGTTGGAATTCAACGTTCAAGATGTTGTACATATTAAATATGCACCGACCAATAATCAATGAATTATTTCAAAACAAAATAAATTTGGATATAACAAAAAAACAACATCAACGTTTAAATGCATTGGAATTAACAAGTGATTGTTGGTATATAATTGAATTATTAATTAAAGTATTGAAGCCTTTTTATCGAGCTACTAAAGCAATTAGCGGTAATGATTATCCAACGATAGGAATTACATTATTTATTTTTCATCGTCTTGAAAAAGAATTCTTATCCAACATTAGTCCAACAGATGATCCATTATTTAATAATATGAAAAAATGTTTATTAAATAAAATGATTTATTATAATATGGTAGAAGATTCAACACAAACAAAAATAATTATGGTGAGTGGTATGAAATATTGTTGATATATTTTTAATGATGTAAGTAAACGGTTTTTTAAATTCTAGTTCTATGGATACTTCGATCCTTATGGTTTATCAGTTATGACAAATAATGAAATTAGCAAAATAGAAAATGAAATAAACTATATAATTCGTCAACAAACATCAAACAGTCCAACACAAGCATCATCAACAATATCTTCAAATACAAATGGAACATCAACAATAGAAAAACCGAAAAAAAATCATTGTTGAACTATCTTCTTGATTCATTAACTGATGAAGATACTCAGCAGGTCAAAAAGCAACCTTCAACGTTAAATAATATATTAAATGATGAATTTAAAACTTACAAAAAATTAGCTGGTGCTTTTGTAACAGCATCAAATCATCTACCTCATTCACTCGAATTTTGGAAGAAAAACAAGTTTCTATTGTCCAACTTGGCACCACTTGCACAAAAATGTTTAGCTTCTCCGAGTACCAGTACAAAATCTGAATCAGCATTTAGCATATCAGCCTATTATAGCCGTAAACAACAAGCTCGACTTTCTTCAGAAAATCTTGGCTTTTCCGTTTTTCTCAAAGATAAACTATCAAATGAAGATAAATAGGAACTATTTAACTATTTGATATATTAAAAAAACGTTGTAGTTTTTGTTTTTTGAACGTTTTTCTTTGTTGTCTGTTTCATATTGTATATTTTGAAAAACTATTTTTCTTGTATATCATAAATAAACAAAAGGACCCGGCCGGAATTATGAACTTCATCATTTAAAAAAACTGAA